ACAGCATATTTACAAAGTTTTCCTGTGTTCAGATAAGCCTTTCTTTGTTACACAATAAAGGGGATGCCTAAGTAGTGATTATTTTTGTACTTCCTGTGTGTGTGAAACCAGAAGTTTAGATGTTGAATTTCTGCCTGCCTTTTCATAAGATTTCCCCTCCTTTCAATTTCTCCAAACAGGCTCATTTTGCTTCAGCACTGACAGTAGTTTTTGTAAACTCTAAGTCATTATCATCAATCAAGATAGATGACACACCACTTGATGATCCTTCCTTGAAGGTTCTTGTCGCTAACAACAGTGATACTCTAAAACTGCTGAAAATGAGCAGCTGTCCCCACGTATCTCCTGCTGGTGAGTAGTGAATATCTACCAAAACTGTAGTAGTAAAGTATGGTAGAACAAACTGGTGAGACTCTGTTTCCATAGTGCCCTCGTGTGTCCAGATCTGGTAGTGTGAACCTGCTTGTTTTAGCACTGGTTGATGGAGGGCTCATTCCCTTCAAAATACAGGCTTGCCAAAATGTTCAGAGGGCTTTTTGGATCTCTTCTCACTTACTCTGGTGCTAGGGAAAGGGAATCGGAATCCTGGTCTGGTCTCTTCCCTGTATTCGTATCCACAGTCTGGCAAAGGTGACTGAACCAGTGTACTTTGTCTTCCAGCAGATGAAGAGCAGTTGTGTTGTTTATGTCTTAACTCAGGGAAGGATCTGGTTTAGCGTAGCTCTTAAACCAGGCTACGGGTCGTCATGTAAATAGAATGAGTGTCAGGGAAGGGAACAGTGGCAACTTCAGCTGGATCTTACGTGATTTCAGTTGGCTCTTCAGAGCAGAGGAAGTTCTGCATGGAAAAGGGCAAAGAGGAAGAAGGATATGCAGATCCAAGGTGACTGTGACTAGTTAGACTTGTTTCTTTTACTGATAAGGGTTTATGGCCAAAACCTCATAAAAGGCTGTGGGTATCTAGAACATTGTATTTCATGGGGTTTGGATATAGGCATAAATACTCAGGCCAGTGGAATTAGTACTTGCTTGATCTTTACAGCAAAGAACTGTGCTTGTATTCCCCTTTCATTTTACAAAGCAATGTATTATTTGTTCCTCAGGAATTCTTTGTGTTGCTGACCAGTGTCATGGACTTAAGGAGCTGGCTTTGAACTACTACATATTAAGCGATGAACTGCTGCTGGCACTTTCAAGTGAAAAACATGTTGATCTTGAACACCTTCGCATAGACGTTGTGAGTGAAAATCCCGGACAAGTTGAATTTCACACTATCAAAAAGCAAAGCTGGGATGCTCTTGTTAAACACTCCCCCAAAGTCAACATCGTGATGTATTTCTTCTTATATGAAGAAGAATTTGATGCTTTCTTCAGAGAGGAAACCCCCGTTACGCACCTTTACTTTGGGCGTGCAGTAAGCAAAGCCATGTTGGGTCGTATTGGCATGAACTGCCCGAGGTTGATTGAGTTGGTTGTGTGTGCTAATGGACTTCAACCTTTGGACGATGAACTTATTCGGATTGCTGAGCGCTGTAAGAACTTAACAGCAATGGGACTGGGTGAATGTGAAGTAACTTGCAGAGGTTTTATTGAATTTGTAAAGATGTGTGGGGGCAGGCTTACCCAGCTTTCTATAATGGAGGAGGTGCTGATTCCGGATAACGATTATAGCTTAGATCGACTTCATTTGGAAGTCTCCAAACACCTCGGAAGAATGTGGTTTCCTGATATGATGCCAACGTGGTAAATTCTATACAGTTGTGAGTAAACTGGTAGATTCAGGGTGTTGCTCTCTATGCAAATAAAACATTTAAAAAATGAAATGTGAAAACTTCTTTCCAGATTTGAGTTTTTCTACCTTGAGAACCTCTAGTAGTGTAACAGCAAAACATTCTAGATTGTTAATGGTATATTGAAATAGGTGATAGATTAAGTGTGCTTAACACTTCTGAAAGGATGTCTGAGGTTTACAGGTGCTTCAAACTTCAGAGAATTTGGGGTTCTCTGAGCTTCAGTTTAAATGTTCCATTCATGTCAAAGGTATTTTTCCCCATGTCTTTGTTTAGTCTTTCTGATGTAGTCAGAAGAGGACTAGAGAAACTTTTTTCCTTTAGCAAATCCAACTTTATGGGAAGCTGGATATGACTTGGAGTTCAGGAAAGCCATGTTATTTGTCATGAAGTTTTATACAGCTATTTTTCAAATTATTCATGTTATAAATGTAAGAGCTTGTACATTAATATACTTACACTGGCCCAGGTTACTCAGATAGAATCCAGCTTAAACTCATGACAGTGATAGATAAGCTTGTGCTTGCAAAAAAACCTTTCCATTTTTAAGTTGCACTTTAAATAATTTTGTAGAGACTGCGTTGTACAATGTGTTGTTTTCTGTCCTATGGTTTAAATAGGTGGGAAAGAGACCTTGTTAAAATTAATGAATTTGAAAGTTTGAATCTGGATTGATTGCTTGAGTGAATGACAAAGCACTTTGGAAACGGCCAGCGTATAAGGAATAGGTTCTGGGATTGGGAGAGTTCAAGTCTTCAGTTACCAGGATTGATGTCTGAATATTGTTCTGTGCTTTCATTATTAACAGATAAGAGGGATCTCATAAATGTAGCTAGTGAGAAGGGAGGATCAAATGGAATACAGTTGTCTTTGATCACTTTCTGTCTCAAATAAAGGATTTAGATCATTTAAGAAATAAATTATTTGCCAGTTATGGGCTAAAATGGCCTATGTTGATCTTGCCTGTGTCTCACAGAGCTGTGCTGTGAAGCCTGATTTCTGGAGTAAGGGTTGCTGGAGGTGTCCTGAGATTTTTGATTCAGGACTGTTTGATACTTGTTGCTATTAATAGATTTTTGAGGAAGAAGATTTTCTTTTTTCTTTTTTTTTTAAAGGGGAAAGGAATGCGAGTTGATGGGAATTGGAGTACGTACGTGTGCTGACATTGGCGCACTGTAAACTGCAATGCATTGTGTACAGGTTTCGCTGTAATTGTTTTCGTGCTGTCCTTGTCCTATCTTCCCTGAGAAGTCTGCGTTTGATTGGCTGGTGGTATTTGTCACTTCAGAGAAAATGTCAGGTTTTTCCACTCTTCTTCACTGCAGACGTAACAGCCAAAGGGTTAAACCAGCATTGGCTTGGACAGGCTTGTTCCCAGTTGCAAGCTGAGGGGTTTAAGATGACATGTAACGCCTGTCTGCATCAGGAACACGGTACTGCCTCTTGCACAGTTAAGAAGCATCTGACTGGTTACTAGCTCCACTTACCTAAGCACTTGCTTCCATAATCGGGGAGGATGATAATTGTCTTTTAAACAGAAGACTGAAATATTTCTAAACAGTATTTTGTTTAAGATGTGTGGTTTGCTTTAAATGTAAATGTAATAAAGTGATCTAACACATGCACTGATCTAGACTCATCCATCTGTTGCACCCCATCCTCCTGTTAGGCAGGGTTCTGTCCTGGTAGACACCATATACTCGACAAACGTGGGGAGAGGCAGTAGAAAGGTTTTAACTCTGGGATTACAGCAAATTAGTCACTGTCATTTCATGTTTGTGCTTCAAACTTGAGGATTTTTGAGGTGCTCAAACTGTAAAATGGAATGTGGACAAACCTTGCAGATGGTTGGTAAATCCTGGAGTCCTTCATGTGTTCTAGCCAACATAACCACATTAATGAAGTATCAGACGTGAGTGGCTGTGTACAGGAATACAGCTCGGGGGAAACTGTTAAAATACTTGCAATGCTGTGCCTTTCTCTGTCCCTCTTACTAAATCAGCTTTTCCATGAAGCCATGAGTATCAGCTTGCTCTGGCTCCAAGCTTCTAGAAAAAAGGGCTTGCAGTACCTGTGATTTTTGATGTGATGACTTTTTTGGTGCATTCACTTTGCTGCCTGGTCTGAAGTAAGACCCATTGATACTTGGGTTTCTAACTAAATGCCGACAAAATTGATACATCAGTCTTAACACTGATTCTTCACTGGTAGTGTGGGATGTAATTTTAATTGAAAAGTAACTTCTGATATTAGGTTAATGTTGAATTTTAAGAGTTTCAAGGTTAGATCTGTTTAGTGCCGTGTGTTGGTGCTATGGTATATGTATTGTGCTTTGGGGAGCAGTGTCAAAACACTGCCCTGCGTAAGGCAGCGTAGTTCTTTTCCTTGTTCAGGTCCTGAATGGCAGGAGTGGAGGTAGATAACTGCCTGTGCTTCTCCTGTCCCTTGAGTAGCCTGTACTTCAGAGCTCTGCCTTGTCCTAGCTAAGGCAAGTTTTACTTGCTTTCCCTGCCCTGCAAAGACTTTCTAAAACCCCATCTCTGAAGTGTATAAGGCAGCAATACAGTTTGTGAGGGTTTTAGTTACTCTGAAGTACAGAATTTTCACCCAATATGCTAAGGAGATTGTAAGGTCACTAAAAAGTCCACATCAGTGAGAAATGAAGAGTGATGCGCCTTTTCTGCCAGATGAGGGGGTGAGCTAGTTTTCATGCTCACTGAGGGTTGGTTTTTTTTTTTTTTTAGACTTTGAGAAACCTTGTAATTAGTCACTGCTAATTTCCTGCTTCTCTTGTGAATGGAAATTCCAACAAAACCTCAAATCTCTGTTCCTTGTATGGAATCCCTTTTGCCATCCAGTAGACACACCTGTGTGTCTGACGTGACAACTCCAAACAGCATCTTTTCTGCCTTACGGAGTCTTTCAATAAATTTCCCTCCAGATTTCCTCAGTTCAAAATGTGAAGTAACCTTGTCTGCCAGGGTGTAGTGAAGTTCGTTAATTAGCCTAAGATACAACGTTCACAACAATTACAGGTGTTTAAAAACAATGCCTTGTTGGCACCTGGAATGTGTGTTAATGTTAATGCCTTGCAATATTATGTAAGGCTCCAAGTACTGAATCAGTAGTAATAGAAACTCTTCACACGAGAAGAAAATGCAACTTTTGGATGCTGAGATGAATTTATTTGGAATTTACCACATTTCCATTTCACTCTCTTTGTTGCCATTTCCCCTTTTCCAGATTGCCGGTAGGATCTGAGTGATCGCAGTTCTCGACGTGAATATGAGATGTGATCCCAGGGAATACTCTCTGCATTGGCAACATTCTCCCAAGGACTTGTCCCTTAGTAATTGTACCGCTGTATCTGATGGGGTGGATGCAGATTAGTTTTACGCAGAAGCCTGGTGAAAACGAGAGGAGGGAAAACATCAGATGACTGAGGAAGCATTTATTCTTCTGTACTAATTTTGTTTCAGAAATACTAATGTTTGTCTTGTCCTTTCCATGGCAGTAGTGGAAATACCAAAACAGCAAAGGCACTGGTCGTCGGAATTGCGATAGTGGTTGGAGTTGTTGGCTTGGGGGAAGAGGGAACATGTGAGGCCAGGAGA